AGCACATTCTTCTTCCAATGATTCTAGAGGTAAAACGGGTCATTTGATGATGAAAATATTTACCGTAAATTTTGGGGTGTAAGAAAATAGAGCAACGGCCTGAACTGCCTATGGGAGCCCGCTTTTCAATGAAAAAGACTTCCGGTTTGTTCACAGGGATTCCCTCAATTTGAACGCCAAGCCGGGTGGAAGACATTACAAGATTTGTCAGGGTTGTTAGGAAAGAGATATTAAAACGATTAAATCGCCAGTCACAATGCCTAGAAACTGGTCTAACCCGGTTGGAAGTTGTGAGAAAATAGAGCCAACAAACAAACGAATATCAGAGGCCAGCGTGTCAGGAGTAATGTAAATGTTAGCTAGTGTAATATAATGATAGCTAATGAGAAACCGGGGCTTACAATAAACAGAAATACAATCAATATACCTTTGGAGTACTGAATTGAAGAAAAATCGATGAGCGTTTTTACACCGTTTTCTGTTGACGAAAGTAACCACTCCGCCACCTCTGTGAAGGAAGTTTACATTTCGATCGCCTAGGAAAACGTAAAATCCATCAAGATGCGCAACGTTGTCCTCAGTGCCGGGATATAGTCAACCCTCCCGGAGTAGAACTACTCACACATTCTTACATTCCTTTTGGTGTGCTATGCTCTGGATATCATTGAGTTATACCATGAGTGAACGAATGCTACTTGAGATAAACAGAACGGTCAAATTATAAACGGAATGGCGCCTGAGCGCGACGCGCCAACCGATACGGTGTTTATCACTGAACAACTTTTCGCAACCGTTGGAAGCGATTTCTCACAGAATAGGCGAAAATCAGAAACTGCTCTTTCTGCGAGATAGACAGCAAAGATTTCAGAAACATGACTTTGTAGGATAGCATCTAACCTTGAAAATTAAACGAAATGATTCAAAAGTATTGACCGGGCGTTCCTCCATTGTAGATTTACGAAATAATATCCGAAGGTAACACAGCAGGGCTCAACCCAAAGGCCCCGTCTGAGTATGTTCAGAGAACACTATGTCAGAGAACAAACGCGGTTATTTAAATATCAAAAACGTAAACAGCAGAAGTGAACTCGATGTGCCACCGCCCACCCCAACCTCATTTAATATTGAAAAGTGTAAAACGCATAAGAGACTACAGTACAAAGCAGAGAATTAAGTTACAATAATGAAGCCATCCGAAAAACAACACGTGATCAAATTGATTGAATGTGCACAGAAGCAATTAGTTACAATTTCTTTTCCTTTTTCGTGTTCAGGTTTTGTTGAATTTATATTGCTTATCAACTGGGACTTTGTGGTTAGCCATTGACAATGATTGATTTATTTTCTAAGATAATCGGTGAGAGCCAGGTAGAAGAGCCTGAATACTGACGATGAGAAGTTTTGTATGTGTGTGCGCAAAATGAAAGGTGACATATACTGGATCCCGTTTTGATCAGGTTTGTTTTACGTGTTGGCTAAATTCGTGAGAATGATGATTTTGACGGGTAATATGTGCGGATGAGATGACTCGAAAATACAGCGAGTGATCAAGCGATACACCAGTGACCAGCGTTATTGAAAAGTCGGTACATCTAAAAGGTGTGTTCATCAGGCAAATGAATAATGAATAGCTTCGAAAGAGCAGTGCAAACCTTTCAAATGGCTTATCAGGAACCATGAGCAGTAAAACAAAACCTACTAGTAGTGGAACGCGAGTTATTCGACCTGAAGCGCTGAACACCTGGATAAGTCAGGCTGGTTTTGAGCAGCTAGCTTTGCATCAATACTGACTTACATAGCCCGTATTTGTCACTGATGTTGAACGTTGTGGAGCTAAACAGACCGAGACTAAGGCCTGATGCATGACCTTCATAAACGAAACAAACCCCTCGAACAAGCACGTATAAAATTCGAGAAGATATAGCATAGATCTAGGAACTGTCTGATACGCCCAATCTTCTTCATAATTCATGCAATACGTGGACCGAAGTAAACAGTATGGAGGTGGTTGAATTTACATCAAATATGAAGAATTGTAAATCGAAAACCAATTTCTTAGGATCGGAAGAGTTGGTAACAGTAAGATAATCCACAACACGTTTGTCCATATAGGCTGGTCAACAGATTTATTCTAGATGCTCCTTAATGGCAGATCGATCCTGCCATTCCCTTCCTCTTTTGTCGCATTGTAAGTGAGTAAGTAAGGAGTTATAAACCTCACACTAATGTTGGGAGAATTTGGTCAAAATTATGTTCCTCGTCTTGGAGAAAAAGAAACCGAAAAGTGCCCCGTATCCCATTCCCAGAGTATTCTTACACGATGGAAATTTTATCTTTTTCACTGGTTGAAAGGACTACCCTTCCTCCGTCTCTTCTTCATTATTAGGCACAGCATAGTGAGGCTAGAGGGGGAAATACAAACCAAAACAAGATGGGATGGGTTTGATTAAAGCAAGATTATGTACAAAATTAAGGGTAAGGCGATTTGGAATGACAAATACCTCCACAGCGCATGGTTAAGGTTGAACATCGCTAAATCAGAAGTAGGCGGTAAGGTTGAAACAATGGCCGAGATACTGTGATTTGGCGCGGTTGCGACAAGCTGGGAATCACAACAATGATCACCATATCGAGGTCTCATAACAGACAGGAATATGAGTGGGTGTACGAAGAGGATGAGTCAGTCCATGGGTAAACCAGTCAGAATGAACCGGTGATTCAACCGGACCACACAAGTTTCGTCGTTGGTGGCAACACGAACCACTCACAATGTGCGTTTGATTCAGAATCGAGGCTGTCTTGAAAGAAGGCAAAACAACCGATCAGTTTGTGCATCCTCATATTCCTAAATCGCGATTTCTTTTCACTAGCACTCTCATACATGAACTTTCGATCCTATACGTCCTGTTGGAGCTGTTACAAAATCGGTGGTGTGTAAGGTTTTGGCTAAAAACAGGTCGGGTGAAATAGCTGCACGGTGCTTTCAAGGTTTTTAGTAGTATGTGAGATACATTGACATTACATGATGAAGATCAGTTGAACAGAGCAATCTTGGCACATCAATTCAATTCAGGTGATCTCCTGACCTGGTTAAAAAGAAGCTGTGAAGCGGTTCCACAGTGTAGCGTACGATTCATGCGTCAAACACAGAAGCTAAGGATAAAAGGCATTCAGAGCGATCGTCCTGAAACATGGACTGTACAGAGAGAATAGCACAATGTCCAGTCTAGTTCAGTTTTTCCACCATTAACCAAGTACTTTCATGAACCTATTTTGGTTGTCATCTCATGAATACCCATTTGCATGAAGGAGTAAAGAGAAGATTGGATTGTTTAAATCGGTGTCTGAATGAAAACAGGGAATTCACGAAGCCTCTTAACGTTGCAAAGAAATTGATAAGATGCACGACGGACACAGCTTACGGCATTCAGCCATATCACTGAGTTTTTTATTACACGCCTAAGTGTGACGAACAGCAGACGAGGCAAACACCATAGTCACGAAGAAATGCTGTACAGTGATGGTAACCGGCAACCTAAGCCCCGGGGCTCGGAATGGTGAGCCACAAAAGACCCCGTTAGCTCAGGCTCAGGTATAGAACCGGGTGGCAGCCACCAAAGTTGGGTGGCGGTGGCATGGCTCGAACCTCGGGCCAAAGGATCCAAAGCACGCCGGTGACAGCGACTAAACCACTGAGCCACCAACAGCCACTCAGTGTCTCTAACCGTTGATTACCATGATCCTGATGTCCCAATGCAGGAAACCTTATGAGACAAATGTGAGCAAGCCTAGTGGTCAGGGTCTTCATACACTCATGCTAAATCTTAGTTTGACTACTCTTGACATTTTTCCACCTATCAACTGCCTCAGCAAACAGCGCGCACCTTGGCAAACTATTTGGTGATATGCGTTACACGTCCCAACAACCGCAGTCTACGAAGGTCGACCGCACTTTCCAGTGGGCGACCGCGACTACCTAAAACTCTACGACCAACCTCAGCATTGCTCGTCCGGTTTCCCCACAAGACTCGAACAATGCGACATAGACAACGGTGTGCGAACACCCATGAGTTATCTTTATCCTGTTCTAGTAATGGCCAAGTCTCTGCTCCGTAGAATAGGACTGATCTAACTGCTGCAGCATATATTCGACCCCTCACAGACAACCGGATTTCGCGACGGCGCCACAGATTTCTCGAGTTGGCAAATGCCAATATAGCCCGCTGTATGCGAGCCTACACTTCATTCGCGATGCGTCCACCGGGTGAACTGTAGGTGCGCAGATCAAAAAATGTCCACTTGCTCTATCACTTCACCAAAGGTTGGGAGCTGTACCGATCCAGTATTGTAGCAACATTTTACACTTTGAAGGNCTTTGAAGGTATAAAACGCATACCAAATGTAGCTACACCAGCACTCAACTACCCAGAAAAGCTTGCAACTTACCTGGATCTTCACTTAGAACTACAATGCCGTCAGCATACCCCAGATTAGACAGTTTACCATTTAGGAGCAAACTGATGCTACTATTCTTGCACGAGGGCAGGGCTGCTGATGAAAAAGTACATAGAAAAAACGGAATCGGTAAAAGAAGCATGATAGAAAAAGATAACTAATGTGCTCCGTACTGATGCACGGGAAGTGGTCAGTACCACCAGTGCCTCATGTATTGTTAGTCTCGCTAAATAGGTCCGACCATAGGTTTTAGTTTCAGCTTTTACAATCATTAACCACGCACCCTTGTGCGGCGATTTTGGTTGCTGTCTTTAGGCTACCCATTTGGATAAAAGAGCAAAGGAATATTGGAATGTTGGAAGGTGGAATATTTACCACCAATGACTGTCGCATTGTTGGTCAACGTCATCTCACAGATGATTGTAACCATAGAAAAGGCCGTTTGACAAACAACGGAAATATGAAAGCTGTACAAGCTTAGACAGTGCAAATCGAAGCGACTCCACAGACGATTGTGCTTGACCTGATAAAGAAACGCCCGGAAGTTAAATAGCTAAATACTTATTTCCTGAGTTACATACTTTTATCACTTTCAAAATCAATAAAATCGAATAATTACATATATGCACAGTGCAACAGAATGAACGGATTATGGACCAACCCGAATTTATGTTCAACAATCGGTCTAATCTATCACAGGACAATTGACGCTTGCGAGGTGGACAAGGAGGTTGAAGTGAGACGGCGCCACTGGTCGAGCAAGGATCAGTTCGGATCAGAATGTTGGGCCATACCGTGGCGCTAGGTGAAGCCAGACCGGATCGTAGTTCCGCTTGAGCCTCTGTGGGACGAGACAACAATGTGGAAGCGGTCGTCAGACCGGCAACAGAGTTAGCCATATTGGCCAGTTTGTCCAAACAGGCGAAAATCGAGCGGTCCAGCGGGCTAAGTGCCGGTCCGAACACCCACTGGTCCGGATTGTTTAGCCAGCAGATCACGCACAACTGATTCGGGATCGGATAAGGAGAAAACAAAGATAGTCCCGTCAAGAAACGGAACAATGCTTGTCCAACTTTATTCTGTCCAATCGGCTTGGTTTATATTAGGCATCACAGAAATACGCAGTGACATCGCATCGTTTGGTTAGTCGACGACACTCCGTGAGTAACCGGAGCCAATGCAGTGAAAAGAAGTGAGATTATAAAAATGTCTACAAAAATGCCATAATTTCTCATTGGTTGACTTCGCCACGCTTTGTTTGGAAAACGTTCCAAAGGTTTAAGAAGTAGTGTAGATGTTTTCATACGAGAAAGCTGTTGAACGCTATCGATATGATTTTCGTTTAAATTTGAACAGTAGCTGTCACAACAGTGAATGGAACATATTAAGGTAATAGGTTGAGTCACAAAGCAAAAAATTCATACAAAATAAACCCCGAGACTCTAGAAGAGGTTATCTAACATTGTGGTGGTGACGACCAGGTGGTCGTGTGTTTGAACACAATCTTGCCCAACTACTCGTTTCTTTGCACCACGCGGCCGTTTCCCCCGTCCAACTGAGTTCAACAGAAAAAAGAACTGTTAGCTAAGACTAGCCCATCACAAAAAATCAGAAGTCTTGGGCGGAACGCAGTGAGTCTGGTTCAAAATAAGTTCGGACAAGGTGAGCTTACAGAGGATCTTCATTTCAAAGTTCTCCTGTGATCAGGCTCCAAAATAAGATAAATAATAAGGTAATCTATCTACGTTGACCGCATTAATGCTTGGGTGCAGTTATGTACACTGAACGGAAACAGATTCAGACACATTTGCAAAGCTTTATGTTTTGCTCGAACACCACGAATACTATTCATCCGGATTAAAGGGGATTACTCGCGCTCATTAAACAAAGGAGAGATCAGATCAATAAAGAGCATAATCCTAGACAACACCAGACATTGCTTTCAAATTGGGTTATTGTGCCCCCTTCCCTGGCATATGCAACAGTGTTTCACTGCGCGCTGTGCTCACAACGGAGGTGATCGAGATAAAGAAGTTGATCACTGGCACATGCGCCCAAAAACGTTTACTTCCATGGTCCGTAACTGACGTATCGAATCAATCTGCCAGCTAATTAATCAGAAGCTGTGAGCTAGTTAAACTAATCACATGACAAAGACACTGANCCATGATTGGTGCTGAACATCTCTAACTGTTATCTGTTTTCCCATGTTTTCTGCGTTGTCTGTAAACTAGTTGAAAATGAATTACTGATGGGAAAACCATTTGTTTCACCAAACTGTATTACTCTAGTACCAGGATGACTAACCCTAAAGACGTAAGAGAAAGTATGAAAATCGACGCAGATCCTTCCATAAACTCATCTCTATTAGGGGCTTATTGTATTAGAGTACATTTTTACCAAATCCATATTTAGGGTTTTTACCGATGGATTTCGACGACGAATGTAGAGTTTGTTTAATCCTTGCCGAATACATTTTTAGAACGGATCAATTCTAGAGCATGGATAGCGGTGTCCATGACCTCCTGAGACCAAGATGGGTGGGTTACAGTATGCGAACAGCACAGTACAGCTCAATCTAGATGATAAATAGTTTGAGTATTAGTATGACCATGAGATTTGCAATCTCGTAGCTGATATCAGTTATCATATCATTCTAATCAGAGAGTAGGGTGATTTCGTTACTCAGCCAGCGATGGTAACGTCACCAAATTATCACCCCGTAGGGCGCGTGTTACAATCAAACCATTAACACCTACGTTATTCTTTCTGTGGGTTGTACGGCAGCCCTTTGATTGATCAGTTTCCTCTTCTTGAAAATTTTATCTATCTATTCAATAAAAGAAAGTAGAAATGAACGATGAAAGATCAGTATCAGTGGATGAACCTCAGGTGAAACGCCGCCAAGAAGGCAGAAATTTTTACTGGCATTGGCTGAATTGAAAAATCGATGTCGTCTCAGCGACATCATTTCGCCAGCAGAAAATAAAGCAACTCCAGCTGCAGTTCGACTCTTCTCACTACATGCCGAGGTACCAGTACCCTGAACGTGGAAATATAGGCGCAGACTACAGTTCGTCGAGAAACACCTACTTCGAATAGCACGATTTCGACGCGACAACTGGGTCAGCAATACGAAGTTAGGAATGTGGAGCCATCTTGGTCGCGTACGAACAGAAGTACTTGAAACTAATGGATTGTGATGATTAGAGCATGTGTAACGTATGTCACTGGATAGCTCTCCGAGGAGGGTGATATTTGTTGAAACAGACGGTGAATGGTAGACGTTCGGTCTATGCAATTGCCGAAAACTCTAAGCCACAGCTGAATGCGGGCAGTCATGTACCTAAGCATTTTTCGTACACACTCGAGTTTTACACATTCTATTTTATACGTTCTCTTCATGCAGTGTTTTTCTGCATTGGTAGGTAAGATGGATGATTAAAAGAACAGGTAATGGAAGCGTCGGGTAATTGGTACCCTAAACTGAATTCAACCGACCTCTCTTTCTCCGACAATCAAAGATTGACTTAAACTTGTTATCTAGGAAATAAAACAGTGAGTTCAATGAACACTACTCACTTGGTTAAAACCATGTTTGTAATGCGGACAATTGAGTGAAGCATCGAGACTTTGCAACGGGGATTGACCAAACAGAGCAGCCAAAGGGTCAATCTCCTGTGCTGGAGGATATGCACCACGACTGGCCGATTTATTGATTGCGGCCGAATGAGTTGACTGAGCCAGACGCTTGTGGACAGGAGAGGCGGTGTGACAAACATAGTTTACTGGTGGAATATCAAATTTGGACGCAGATGTCGAGATTTGTTCACTTTGACGGGAGGATGATTGGGACGGGGGTGACCATTCAGGACACCAAGGGATAAGACCGAACCCCGATTGATCCCCATTGCATTCCAAGCTGAATGGATTCGTATCCTTTCCAAGGGTGACCTGGGGTAGCACCAAAAAACCCAACTCATTGTCATGGTGAGTGGCAGTTGAATAAATCTTATATCATATGTAAACTAGAAGGGATAAGTTACAAAGAAACACAAATATGAACACAAGGGAAAAATAGCATTTATTCCATTGATGGTAACGAATTCAGGAAAACCGAGGCTACTTTACAGTTTTATCGAACAAGTGCATCCACAAGCGTCACTTTTGCAGCGGACACCTATCATGAATATGATTGTCGATGAACCTGCAACAGTACTTAGTTAATTACCGATGGCCGGAGAGCGCTACCTAGAATTTGAGGTTATTATCGTTCATTCAACATTGCCGGCTCCAATGATATGGTCCGCCGGCAACCAAAAGATTAATTTTGAAGTCAATGACTCCATCCAATACTCGCCACAAACTGACATTTCTGTCATTACAGTCAAATAAAGAAATGAACTAACCCCATCAAATCCGATGCGGATTTCTTCGGTCTTCGATTCGCTAACCGCAAGTGAATGGCAGTCTGCACAGATGTGAACCGGTGATTGCCGCGTATGGGCAGCTAGTATCAAAGATGTACATTTTTCAGACCACTCGGTTACATGATAAGTCTCACGACTATACTGTATCGTCGAATCAGATATCCTCTAACATTTCGTAAATACACATTTTTGCATACCATGACAAATGTATTCATCTGAGCATAATTATACGAATAGGATTTCTTGAACCAACACTCAACCCCGAAGTGATAATGATCCCAACTATGGGACATAATGATAAATTGCATGCATTGAGATGGGTATCAAAGTCCGACATTTGGTCCAAGCCGGAAAAATTCCATACTTACAAACATGAATTTGTTTAATTTATTGGAACGAATCTAGCGAAGTGTACTGTTCGAAAGTTACGGCTCCCCAAAGTGGTGATGAGCAGCTCCAAAATTGCACGACTCAGTACCATATTTAGTTTGTTCGAGTAATCCAAGGGTCCATTACTCCGAGGATGCTGCTATCTACGATCACTCTCCTTCAATAATACACATCTATATGCATTATCGAAGGAGGATTTTCTTTCTGATGTTTAAACAGCCCCATAGGGCTCATAATGAGAACATAAATTAGCAAACAAGTTCGTTTTCAATGTGTCTTAATCATGCCACTACAACACAATGAATATGACTAGTAACAGAGAAAGATTTACAAGGAAAAAAGGGAAAGTAATTGAAGTATTCAACAGCTTGTTTCATAATTGGTCCCCAAATATCATTTGCTCAGATGTTTCATTACAGGTCACTTGTCGGCAATCCGGCCATGGGAGCCTGAGTGCTTGCACAAATGGTTTCTGAGCACACAGAAGGGGTTTGTGAAGACGAATGAAAACTGCCTCCGTTGCGGCTGGAATGCGAAACAGCACGTGTCTGGACCGACCCGTTTTAACTCAATACAGGGGTCGGAATGCTTCGGTCACGTTTACAATGTGATCAGTGTCGAAAAGGTGCGGCACGACCGCACTTGGTGTATCTACGGTTGAAGGATACAGTGCTCGATTCTGGTGCCTCTTTCGTTAT